TGCATTATGCGAATCATTTTATCAGTTAAGTTAGTCACCGGAGATGCGGAGACCTGTACTCCTAAACATACGTGTATAATACAGGAAAACGTATATTCATCCTGTATCATATATCAGCGGATCTCTTACAAGCCTGACCTACAAGAACTAATTTGAAAAAAATCTGTCTCAACCGTAAGTGTTGTGTTCCGGTCGGAGCAAGGTCGCGACATGCAGCTGACTGACTCTGCCTATTGTTCATGGAGGGCCCAACCTGCACTATTTCATATGATAAACGATGCGACCCACTCTACGCCCCCCATATCGGTACTTACGTTCCTACTGACATTGAAGTCTCATGAATAGACAAGTTAATTAAATATTCTCATTTTGCTAAAAACTAGACAATAAGCACATTGTGGTTTTTCTACTAAATTATATCATTGATGTGAAACGTCCGCTTCGCAATCTTAGTCTGGCTTTAACAATAATCGATTGTGTTTTATGAATGTCATTCGCTAACGTGTAAACAATGGATGCATCCAGTAATTACATAATAAAATCCAACTTACCGTTCAGACTTAGAATAAACTATACATAGACTTATTTCTTGGCGGTTTTCAAGCGTGTTTCGTTCAATATTTGAGTTTTCTTTATCATGGCAAAGAATTTTTTAATCTCTAGAGCGTATCATTATAAACTGAGGTGGGCACTTATCCTTCCATTAGTCAATGTTTACCGGTGAATGTTTTGCTAAAAGTGCACGTGAACTCAGTGCGAGTCAGTCAAAGGCACACGTGCTCTTGGCAGCTCACGAGTTATCACTCAATGAACTACACGCCCAGCGGTGCAGCGAGCCAACCAACACTCTACAGACAAGCTGGACGACATAAATATACATCTCTGTACGGAATCTTGACTCCAAGCCAAAGTTTTCAATGTTACATAGAACTATGCCTGCCAGACTTGGGGATCAGACCTCACTTACAATTAATGGATTCCGTTTACTACAAACTAAAAATCGATACATGCAACAATCGTCCCTATGACAAACTACTTGCCTTATAAATCGTCAAATTTACATTGATTCAACCCATCCATACGTTCAATTAATTAAAATTCAGATCATGAGCGAATTTTATGAAAGGACGCTGCTGTGCAATGTTATTTTGTAATGGAACTGCACACTTCGTTACAGTTCTTGAACTTTTTGGACACGTCAATATTTTTGTTGAATACGACTGAATTAGTTGAACTACGCACGCCTATTACTAGTGTTTAAACAACTGCGGATAAAGGTATCCAACAGCTACAATGGAGTGTGACAGCTAGGAAAGCAGGTCGCGGATCAGTGCGCGCTCAAGGATTTCTCTAAACTTTTTACGGTCACACCTCCCCCATTCAGTTCACAGACAATTTCAAGTGCTAAATCGTTCAGATCCGGCTTAGCACAAGTCTAATCAATTTTGCGATTCAATTCAATTGTGTGTCGGGACTCGACATTATGTGTAAATAAGGACGTCGGACAAACAGGTTATTTTAAACCGTGTTTCACACATTGCAGTGTTCTATAGAGTCTCGTTACGTTTGTTACGCAGGAAGACGCAAGAAATAAAATAAGAGGTCAACGAAATAAAAATATAATGACTAAGAAGTTATTATTCATATCTCGTGTCGTCGCAAACTGTGTAACAATAGATCGTGATTCGCCGGGTTACTGATAGCTCATAGGTACAAAACACTAGAGGTGGTATTTGAATTAAAAATCTTTGTTTTGCATCTCCAAAAACACCTACGGTCTTTTTATTACCTTGATTTAAAATAGGTTCATAAATAAAACATGTCCTTCGAACTGTTTGTGTCTTCATGTTTTATATATTTCGGAAAATTATCATTCAATTCGCATTTGTAAGTTCAGCAATAATTTCAGGCACTTGACATACAATACAGCTACGCATTATACGTCTACTTATTTGTTATTCATTCATCACATTAATCATTATTTCGGACATGTCTGGACATGTCTGATCATCTTGACAGGGTCCACGAGACTAATGTAATGGACTGATTTTAAATTTGTGAATTGTTTCGCATTCTTTTACGGAGGTCATTTTTTGTAACGAAGGTATGCGATCAACAGAATAGAAAATTGAGTATTTTCTATTCCGTGTATGGATCCCTAAATCTTATAGCAATATAGGTACAAAGTTATTAATCAAAGATAAGCTCTGAATTTGTGAGGAATTACTTGTCCAAGTTGGTGTCCATCTTCAGTTAATTATTACAGGCACTTAAGACACATCTAAAGACATTCAAACATTCAAGGTGACACGTTTAAAAAAAGCAGAGTTCATTTAACCAATACTGACTGATAAATGAGAAACGCTGAAACTGGCGATTATGATTGTTTAGGACGTAAAAATAGTAACGATTTACAAAACAAAATATTTTTCTGGGCGATTGCCAATACAGTGTTATGTGTGTACCCTTGTATCCTACACATGTATACAAACATCGGTTTAGAGTCGCTGTTTCACGTAAAGATAGACTTTACATTTATTTGTGTGATCTTGATTCATCGGAATATCCTGAAGTGGAAGTAGATGTATGTAGGTACATCATTCAAAGTAAAAGACATAATTGATTATTTTCAACCATAAAAATCAAACAGCAAGATGTTTATATTAGTGCAACCCGTGACAATGTGATAATTTTCACCAGATTAGCAAATTGTTCAAAATACGTTCTAGACGTTCTATGTCATTTAATTCTCACGACCACCTTGCAGTGCCACAAACGATCTAACAGGACAGTCACACCTCAATCGAAGACTTGTAAATAAGAAAGCTTATATTTGATCTTCGTGACAAAACGATTATATTTTGCAGTCAACGCGTCACAGTAGGGGGCGTGGTTGTCGCTTATGGAGTACGTTCAATCAAGAACCTATCCTTGACTCGTGATCCATGTAGAAGTGCGCATATATTTTAAATAAGCATTTGTCGTCACAGTTCTAAGTGTTTTAACTAATAGAGCATCGTGACTGTCCACAACAGATGCCATTATGGAGGGGCAACTTCGAACATAATAGATGTCGTGCCACGATATTGACACTAACTTTATTTGTCACCAATATTGACACTCTGGTGTTATCCACATAGAATAACATAATGGTTGAACTGTATTCCATGTTAATTGTTTACAAAGTGGCAGAACGATACTGGTGCACTTAGCACATCATTCCAACTTAAATAGTATAATAGGTTGATATTTCCCAGTGGTAATTCACCTTCAAAATTAATTGGAGTTTGCTTTCATTTTCAAATAGTCCAACTACTTATCTTATTTGTTTACCTGGTCGTATAAATATGAGTATAATTTAGTAACATTTTTGTTAATGTCTTATTTTACTGGTCTAAAAAATCTAAAAAATAACCTGGGTGTCTTCAATGCCCGATCGAATAGGTTGCTTATAGGAACACGTCTGGGGTAAGCGTGCTTTTATTTACCCCAGGCGGGCTCCATCGTAAGGGGCATCATAGCTTATCACCCGGCTAAACGCCGTTTACTCGCTTAGTTATTTTGGAGTAAAATAATAAAATTTTCTTCAACAGAGTTAAACGAAAGTATTCTAAAAAAATATACCTAGAAAATAAATTTAAATATTCTCTTCCTCGTATCAGTGACGGTAAATGCCGATCGAGCAGCGGATGTCAGAAGATAAATAATAAATATTATTAAGTGCTAACCGTTCTTGGAATTCAGATTGACGCTGAACAAAGACACATTGACACTCTTAGAATTACGTACAACAACAGTAATTACATTTATTTACTATTTTACACTAGCTCTTGCGTAAGAATTTTTGTACATCTTCTTTATCGCTTATAATAATTTACTTACGAACTTATGATGTTTCATTCATTTAACTAAAATTCAATATGATAGTCCTTACACACTATTGAACTTTGAACACTATTCCAAATAAAATACAGCTAGTCTCTATAACAGCTAAAAATGTCAATACTAAAATGTAGAACCAACTTTTTCAAAATTTCGAAAACGGTTTTTAACACAGAACAGAACATGCAGCTTATGCCTTGTCCAACATATACAACTAGAAAACAGAAAGTATATAATGTTCCGTCGCGGAACTCGGACGCATTATTATTACAACATTCGTGCTTAACTGTTTTTTTGCAGTCCAACCGACGACTTGTTCCTTCCAAATTTATTTTCGAAACCAGTTTAATCCAGTATCACCCGCAATCTGTCTTGTCGGCAAACTGAGTTCATACATACATTATAACACTTCAAACAACGCAAAATAAACGTTAATGTCGATACAATAAAGCTTAAAATAGCTCATCTTATGTTTAGGCTGAATAAAATTAGGGGAACTGAATCGCATGAGTGTAAAGCATTCAATACTTTTATGAGTCATTTTGTTGTAGCTTACAAAGTAACCCTTTATTTAGGTATAACCCTAGATCCCATGCATGTGATAATGGAACTTCAACACTCGCTCCTATCACCGTTCTCGTTCAATATCCAAAACATCAAAATTCTGCGCATACGCAAATAAGGCAAGACATCAAACGCTCCACGTGAATCAAAAAATATTTGTATAGTAATATAATTTTACAAAATCGAGATAATTTTAATATAGAGTAAGAAAGTAAAATTCACCAACGCGGCTACGGTTAGAAATCCTGCGGGAGATCTGTGTTTCGTGCTTACGCGTCCGCGGTGGCTATTTATGTCTTCTCAAAATAGCAATGGCTTGGTCACATGGCCGCCGACCGAGCCCCTGCAACGAACACCGTCTGACGTCACTGCAGCGTCACATTCAATGAAACTTGTGTACATTCCAAAATTTGGCACACCACCGTCAAATCTGACGAAAGCGAATTTAAATAAAACCATCAAATCTCGGAACAGTGTCCTTCTATTGTTTTTAATATTTCGCTTGAAATAAAAACAACAATACCTACTTAATTGCTTTTTCTCTTCTTTTTCAGAAACCTCAAATGCGGCCGATGATAGTTGAATATGACCCCAAGAAAAAAGGAGTCAAAAATGATTTATCAGATGTCGTTATGGTCAAGTAAGTTACTATGTTCCATATGTTCTTCAGAAAGGATGCCACTAAAACGACAATCATCGAATCAGCTTTGATTGCAAATTTTATGTTTTGTCGACAATTAACTTTCAGTTTGATCTGGTGCCACATAAGATCAAATATTATATGTTGTAATGCTTAGTAAATAATTATCTAGTAATTAAAAATCAACATTAAAGCATGCTTCACAGCTTACCTCATTTTTTTTCTGTTCAAAATTCTGATATTTTACTTGTGGAATATCTTCTTAGAATTGCCTTAAACCTAATAATATTGACGTTTTTGTTTCAACAGGACATTGAAAAGAAAATGTAAGCCTATTAGATAGGTATTACTGTCAAGGTTAAATATAATAAATCGGTCGCAATTATAAATTCATTATGAGGTGCTCCTCGGTGTTCTGAGCGACAGCAACTATGCCGTCCGTAGCCCTGGGCCCTATAACTCGATTTGTCTATCAATGTTTATTGATAAATTGATGCTTTGTCGTGGTATTTTATATTGTATGTTGACTGTTAAGTACTCGCTCCTTAAAATGAGCTAATTTGCTCGAAGCTGTACGGAGACGATCCGGGAAGACGAGTGCTGCTTCCACGAGATATATGTCGTTCGTCGACCTTGATCATCTTGCAATGGACTCATACACCGGTACATCATTCCATTTTATGGTTTCAATTTTGTTTATTTAATTTGTTTTGTTTGGTAATGGTAAACATATTTGGAGAATTGCGTACTCAGAGTGACTGAGACCGCTGCCACAGCGCCGACGCCTCGCGTTGGCCGTGCGCGGCGGCCGCTCGTGCGCCATCTCTGTTCAGGCTCGGGATTGGCTCGCAAACGGGCGATTTGTACAAATTTGATTTAGCTTTATGTTCCTTTAATATTTCTCTATTTATTTCTTTCTTATTTCTATATTTCTAGAGATATGATTTGAAAGAATAAAACCAAATTATTATAAAATCTTGTAAATAATATACCATTTTCAGTCAGTTGATGTGTATGCAGTGTATGTGTGTATGCTTGCAATTGTCCAGTTGCCAACTTTGTCCGTTAAGTTTAAAGATTAAATACATGTTTGTTTACAACGTAAAGCTGTATTGAATTTAACGGTTGAGCCATGTCTTTGTAAATGCCGAGTCTTAACAGAGTGAAGCGCACACAAACAAAATATATTATATTTTATTTTGGAGACCATAATGAATGTATCACACTTCACACCACAACACTCACACAAAGTAACGCAGCATAGTAATTAGAAAATAATATTATTCATTCTCGAGCAGTTCATATTAGCCACAGATTATTGCTCTGGATATCGTAGCATCGTGTTCTGTTCGATTCCGCGGCCGCGACATTTACACCTCATTCGATCACATTGTAGCTTGAGATGTGGCGCTTTATGTGTTTCGCTACCATTACATAGATCTGCTTTAAATTCAGTGAATTATTTGAGACTACACTTTGTTACCCACCTCACTTCTAACCTATCAACACCACTTTACCTAGTTTATAGTATAGCACAAACCGTTGCACTTGTTATAACAGTATTCGGGGAATGTTTTACAGGTACAAAGTTGACCCAAATGAGATCCCAGTGGAACAACAGGCGGGCTCCACCTTGCCCCTCATGGAGATCCCAGGCAGGGATGTTGAGGCAGATGAGGACTATAACCCTTTCGAGCATAGAAAACTGGCGCATCCAACATCGTAAGTACTTAGGTGTCACGTATATTACATATCAATCTTCTTTGACTTAAAAAAATAATTGAAACCCTAAAATACCTTCCGAATACTTACAAAAATAGCGGTCGAATAGCAGAAAAACAAAAGCAAAGTTCAAGTTTGTATTAATTTATAATTGTGTATTAATTTATAATAACATTTTCTTTTCAGGGATATGGATACGCTTATCCATTTGCTGAAAGGATCTCTCGGCAGTGGAATCTTGGCAATGCCTATGGCGTTCCGTAACGCTGGTCTCTACTTCGGGTTAATTGCTACGTTTGCCATCGGAGGTATTTGCACGTACTGCGTGCACGTACTGGTGAGGACAGCACATGAGCTGTGCAGGCGGATACAAAAGCCATCATTAGGATTCGCTGAAGTTGCTGAAGCTGCCTTCTTATCTGGTCCACCGGCTGTGCATAAATTTTCACGACTTGCCAAGTAAGTACAATAGTAATTTATTCTTTTTCTGTACTTAATTATTTCTTTACAAAGAGTGATGACTAACGTATTTCTACTATCTTTTCAGAGCTATGATAAACTGGTTCCTTGTGATTGACTTACTGGGATGCTGCTGCGTCTACATTGTGTTCGTTGCCAAAAATGTAAAGCAAGTGGTCGACGTGTATGCCAAAGATACCGACTGGTATGGCGTAGACGTTCGTGTCTACATGGCAGTTCTACTTCCTCTTCTAATTCTTATGAACTTGATAAGGAACCTGAAGTACCTGGCGCCATTCTCAATGATTGCGAATTTACTGGTCGGCACTGGAATGGGAATCACTTTCTATTATCTTTTCCAAGACATTCCCAGTTTGAGTGAACGTCTGCCCTTCACTCGTGTGGAGCGCTTACCGACCTTCTTCGGAACTGCCATCTTTGCCCTTGAAGGAATTGGTGTTGTCATGCCCTTGGAAAACAACATGAAGACTCCCACTCACTTCATCGGATGCCCTGGCGTGCTTAACACTGGTATGTTCTTCGTGGTGTCTCTGTACGCATTTACTGGATTCTTTGGATACCTGAAATATGGAGAGAACACCCAGAGCAGCATCACCCTGAATCTGCCTCAAGAAGAAGTGTAAGTATTTATTTTTTTGCTTTACTTTTACTAATAATAGTTTCTGAACTAATATAATTAGTCTTACAATTTCTAAGTACATTGGTACATACGTCTCAAAGGTGTAGCCAAAAGTGCACATATCAATAACATTTTTATGACCAGTTGATTCAAAAATTTAATTAATGCGTCCCCTACTCTGGTGTCAAAATAGAGACTTCATGATCGTTAGTCGTACTTGTGTTGCATAGGTTGCCATATCTAATATTTGTCTCTGCTTTATTACAGACTGGGTCAATGCGTGAAACTCATGATCGCTGTCGCCATTTTCTTCACCTACAGTCTTCAGTTCTACGTACCAATGGAAATTATCTGGAAAAATGTTCGCCACTGGTTCGGGGCCAAGAAAAACCTTGCTGAATACAGCATCCGAATTGGAATCATCATCCTGACTTTGTCCACGGCTATCGCCATCCCTAATCTTGGACCTTTCATCTCACTGGTCGGCGCTGTCTGTCTCTCATTCCTTGGTCTCATTTTCCCTGCTGTTATCGAAACTGTAGCTTTCTGGGACAGACCCAACGGTCTGGGTCGTTTCAACTGGATTCTCTGGAAGAACATGTTCTTGGTATGTTTCGGAATTCTCGGTTTCTTAACGGGAGCATACGTCAGCATTTTGGATATAATCCATGGTGAGGAATAAGAACAGACGCGCATGACCATTTCATAGAATAAGCTCAATAGATATGATTTTAAGTTAAGGCCGTTTTTTATAAGTGTAACAATGGCTTCGATGGGTTAAATTGATTTAATATACCTGATTTCCATTAAGAAATATTTTTGTAATATCTACTAGTGATTTTATATGTTGAATTCATATCATTAATAAAAAAAACTTTTCAATATTTGAAAGTACCGAACTCTGCACAAAACTCATCAAAACTTTGTTTTATAAAATTGTCGACGCAAATTATTGTAATGTTAATTATCGCTTTTAGAATTTTTATACTATTTGTGGTTATCGCCACAATAATTTTGTATAGCAAAGTTGTATTATCTACATATAATTGAGTTATTGTATTTTAATGCTCAATTTGTATAACGATAACGTGAGATTAGAAGTATCTACCTACTAATTTACATTTTGATTTGAAAATAGTTGATGCGAAGCAGGTTGTGTATTCTTATATAACTTTCATTTATTTAGCCCCGAAACTCTGTAGCCATTTTAGTTGTAAGCGAAATGTAGATAAATCTACTTTTATTGAAATGCGTGACAATTTGTTTAGTGCATTATTGAAATGTGATACGTGTTTAGGTTAAATAAAAGGCATTATGGTATTGGAAAAATGACTTTTAAAACAAAATTAATGGTTTCGAAAATAGACAATATTATTAATAATAAATGTAACTAGTTTTTAGCAAAATTTTCGAGCTAGGCTACAGCTTGCCGAGTCTTTAAAATGGATTACAATTTTGGGGTCAAATAGTAGAAACATTATTCGTGATAATAATGATGACATTTCCATTACCAAAAAACCATATTATAGTTAAGTATATAACTGCTTATGTAGTATAAATATTCATATCGAGCTTTTTGGAAAATTATGAACTGAAGCATTTATCTATACTTACGTACCTATAGGTACACATACAAGATCTTCCATCGAGAACATTATTGTTATAGAATTAAAACAAAAAACTCTGGCGAAAATGTTGGTAAAATCTCAATATTAGATACATTATATGTACCTAAAGACTGGTTTATAATATTGTATTTTTTTATTGTCACAAAAAATATATTCTCAATCGTCCTTCGTTGTCTCAAAATTAAACTCTAGAGTTAAGAAGATAAGATTATAAACGGGTTGCACTTTCAGTTGAATTGATTACGTGCTGATTGGTGAAGCAGCCTTGTTGTTCCTCGTACAAGTTTGATTCTGAATATTTATTTAGACACTAACAGAGCGAATGTTTATACGAATGACTAAATTTGTAAGATTAAAGAAACCTATTATCGTGTGATAGTCATTCTGAATTAATTGATAGGTATAAGCGTTTAACTAGCTAAAGTTGGGATGTTTACCCAACTTTAAAAAAAATGATTATTGTTAACTAAGGACGTATTGTTCATCCCCGCTGTTTTGGCTCTTTTATTTTACCCAACTTGTTGGCAATGAGGGTAATGTGTTTTAGGAAGATGATTTCGACTTCCGACGTATATGAACATAACCACAGCATTTGGGGAAACACCTAATAGTGATTTAATGTATGTTAAAAATCAATTAGACTTCTAGTAACTATAATATGTCCCATGAAATACAATTTCACTAAATTTTCATACATAGTTGATGTCAATTCAGAATCTGAAACATATTTTCTAAATTCATATATTTTTTTATTTTTCAAGGAGTTTAAATATTGTGATTATTTGCTACACAGATTATACTTTAAAAAATGGAACTATTCATGGGATGTCATTCCTATATATTTGGTATTATGTACCAACCTACCTATTTTAGATACATAGAAGTGGTTGTTTTGTTACAGTATTAAATAAATACGATTTAAGGACATTTGTGTTTTATTATTTTTTAGCATAAGGGTTATTTTTCCCCGTAGGGTTTGTAAGAATTTTTTGCTACATAATTTCCAATGCAAATTCTCAAATCAAGAGGAATGTAATCTATTTCCTTATACCCTTGCCAGGCATTCAAGAGGATCAAAACTGGCGGTACATTTCTCAAGCAACTAGTTAATAACTATTTAAGTTTCGGTTCGAATGGACAAGTAATTTGATGGAATGTCTCTTTTTTGAGGAGGGCAGAAATGTTTAATTTTTTATGATGCGATGGCAAATGAGCGCCCCTATTACCAGATGGTAAGCAATCAGCGCTGCCCATGAACACCCGCATCAACTGAGGTTTTGGATCTTTAGGAATTGGGGGTAAGGGAGGATTGAGCCTCCGGCAATCTCACTCAGATGGCAAAATACAACGCTGTGTTTTATTATAAGAGTCTGACACTCCCTCCCATCTGGCCCTGGGGGGGAGATCTCATTTGATGATTTTCCCCTCACAAAAAACCCATACCTACTAGTAAAAAACTTCGATGAACCGTAAATTAGTGCGGTTGAACCCATCTGAACATCAGGCCTGTTGGGCCCCATCTGATAATCTCTTGGATATTGGAGAAGCGCTGGGAACGCTTCGGGCCGTAAGCTCGGGTCTTGTTCTGGTTGAACGGCGAGCTACCCCTGCTCGCCGTCTACAGACAAGCTGGTCGGAGATCTTCACGCCATCCCCGACGCTCCGAGGGTCCACGCCTCCAGGAGAAAAAACTGCTTCATAATTCCACTCGCTCCGCACCAAGGCCTCGACTAAGGCCGGTCGCGGGATGTCGCCGCCGCCGATTACCCTGTAGACACGGCCGTGCTTAGCCTAAGCAGGATACACCGCTACCGTATGCTCCACCTTGTCATCCGGACAATTAAATGGATCGCTGCGACCAGAGTTATACCACGACCGCATGACTGCCGGCTTCATCTAGTTTTTCACATAAATATTGACGTGTAAAAGTGCCGTTTCATGGCCTATCTGCAAAAATAAATTCATTGTTTCGCCGTGTGGGTGAAGTTACCGAAGGCCCAATTCCCATCCTTTCCCAATCCCTTAATTTCCGAATCTTAATCCCCAAAATGCCGGCAACGTACTAGTAACTCCTCTCAGTCAGTTCCAATTGCTTACCATCAGGTAGTTCGTTTGCCGATCTATAGCTAGCTGCTATAGGCTATAAAACATCACGCTACGATTAAATGGAGCTGAGCAGCGGGTGAAACCGCGCAAGAATAGCTATACAGTGTCACATGTTATTATAATTCATTTTACAATATTTTACATTCCCAACTAACAACTGTTCAAGACAAAAGTATTAGGATAGAAAAGAAAATATATTGATTTGCGATAAATGTGGGTAGAAAGACAAAACAACTCTATATGTAATCCTCGAATTATTGTTCTTAGCTCTGTGTTTAATGTGTATATTTGTAAACACACTCACGACACTGGAGAAAATCCTAGTGTAAGGTAACATTTTTAAAAACAACAGATAAGCTGTAACAAATTTAGGAGACATTGTCACATTTTTTTAATAAGCAAGTTTAAATGTGTACGCTGGTATGAAATAATGAAAAAATAGTTTTAATATTGAGATCTCCATGCTTCTGCAAATTGATTTCATTGGATAATTTCGTGTCAATTCGACACATTATCATTATAACGAAGAGTTCTGGCCGCAGGGTGTTGTGTACCGCCGGTTTGGTGGCTAGATACGTGACATCAGTCAGCGAAACATGACGCCTCTACTTCGTGTGCATTATAGTTATAGTTGTGTTATCAATACTAATAATATAAGGAAGTAAAATTTGTAATTTGTAGGTTTGGAATAATCTTTACAACCGCTGCCCGCTGGTTGAATTTCCAAAAGTTCTTTCACTGGTATCTACAATATTGCTGAGTTTGGGAATGGCCCAAAGGCTATAAAACATCACGCTACGATCAAATGGAGTCGACTACCGGGTGAAACCGCGCGAGAGTAGCTAGTTTTAGATATATAAATATAAAGTTTTTTTTTTCATTTAATAATATGTTGTTTCACGTTTGAAATTGGATATGTATTGGTTTATAAGTTTTGAGTGGTGTTAATATACGAGTAATACATGTATTTTATTTAACATGGGCCGTAGTTGCCTTAAATAAAGGAATGTATAAAATAAAATAATTGGTAATTTAAGGATATGAGTAAGAAGTATTCGTTTTTTATAAACACGAAATGAAAAACCTGTCCTGTCCTGTCAAATTGAAACCGTGTTTACCAAAACTTCTGAAAATTAAGTAAACCTTTTTTTGTCTGCGGAAAATCATCAAATGCCTTCTCCCGCCCAAAGCAAGGCTAGAAAGAGTGTCAGACTCTTACTGACTAAAAACCCCCGTTCCTTCCCCTGCTCTGGGCCGAGGCTGCGGTGTCTCATTGCGCTTACCCCGCAACCCCGGCTGAACATCAGCCCTATAGGGCCCCGTCTGTGGTGGTAAATTGGGTCTTTGAGGCGCGCGCGGAACGCTACGCGCCGTACGCTCGGGTCTGGTTCTGGTCGGGCGGCGACCTATCCTTAATCACGTAAACCCACTAGTCAATTCTCTCTACGCAGCAACATCAACGCCATCTATGTATACTTAAGTTTATTAAATATACTTGACTTAAGTTTATGAAAATTGCAACCACACATTAAATATAGTCGCATTTAGTGTATTCTTTATAGCAGTAACGCAGCTGAAATTGGCTATAGTTTATGGTTAAATAATTCAGATTTTTTGACATTTCTAACAATTTATGTATAACAAATAATATTATGTAGACACGTTCATTACACTTACACAATCATTAATGTTAATATACTACGAGGCATACAACAATGTACTAAAAAATTTAAAAAACATAGATGAGGTTAAAGATCTCTCCTCTCTGGGGTAGAAAGCCCTGAATCCGTAATCTGTAGTTCCGTAATCGTCATAAGGCCCCTGGTGTTGGTCGTCAGTGTGTATGCAGCCCTAAAACCCGAAAAGGAAAAAGAAATGCAATATCATCTCACCTTAATCAATACGCCAACCTCTGCATCTGTAAGCAAAAAAAAAATATTTTAAAAAGTTTCTTTCCTCATACGCAATGGCTAACAAAACAGGCTAAAGCTTATCTTTAGTCATTACAAAGTAGTTTCGTTTTAAATTGTTATATTTATAACCACAAAAATTAAATAATAGAACACAATAGTCTTCACCTGTGGTCTTCACTGATTGTTAAAAAGTTCTTATTCGAATGGTAAACGAAATACGTGTCTGATAAACACTTGAATGTGTGGGTTTGAAACCTGGCAAATACCAATATTACCTTTCTAAGTGTATTTAGAACCCGGTTAAGAAAAATATTATCGTGTAGTAATCTGGACTTCATCATCAGCCTATAAGTGCCCACTGCTGAGCAAAGGTCTCTTCTCATAAGGCGAAGGTTAGAGCATTGATCACCACGCTTGCTCAATACGGGTTGGCGATTTCAAACTTATAATTAGAAATTATAGGTCCAGGTTTCCTCACGATGTTTACCTTCACCGTATGTCAGTGGTGTCTAAATAATCATAGAAAGTACATATAACTCGGAAAAGTCACATTGGTACTTGCCAGGTTTCGAACCCACACCCTTATGCATGATAAGCGGGCTCCTTATCCTCCACGACACTACACAATCTGGACTTGTTACTTTCTAATTATAGTTACAAATAACCAATCTAACTTGAGCAAGTAGGGTGACCATTGCTCAAACCTTCTCCGAGAGGTGGCATTTGTCCAGCTGCTTATAGGCTGACAATGATTATAAGTTTGACCGCAAAGTGACGGCTGATCTATGTATATGACGCAATTTAAACAATTTATTTCTATACCATTTTCGCTTTAAAGTTAAAAATAATTTAACTAGCATTGTATACTGCCAGATATCGAAATCAGTCCTTCAGCTACACCCTAGTGCACGTAAGTCTTAAAGCCTTTCAGTATAATCGCACTAGTTGCAGATTCTTGGATCTGTAGGTCTATCTTGACTCGTATCGACAAAAGTATATAATTACTGTTAAGTTACATTAAAAACAAAAAAAGAACAAAATGAAATGCAGAAAACTGATAATATTCCATACTTCAGCTTATACGAGATCAGAATTGCCCCCAAACAGCGTGATTATGATTTTGAAAATGTTGCCCCACAGATGGTTTTTCATTTGTACCATGGATTTGGTTACAAACATACAATTTCAAGTAGGTGCAGGAACAACAATTTGTGGATCACACAGAGTTGTTCTGTAAAGGAATTAAACCAGCAACATGCTGCGCTGCCACTGATTACCCAGCAACCATGTCAATGGTCTGGTCAAAATGATGTATTTAATTCTTGTATAAAGAGATAAAATTTGTAAGTTTTAGGGACACTATAAACCTTTATTCAAAATAAAACTTATATATTATTGGCGGAAGAGTGACGTCTTGGCTGTCATCGGAGGGGATGTTGGTGGGAGAAGCTACGGTTGCCTATAAAAGGGCCTGCGCGCTCAGTGGAGTCCTCTTTCTGCGTTGAGTACACATGGTACAAGGGAACCTCTGCTCGTTTGAAGGGTTAAACTGTCTTGTCTGCTATTAATTTTGCGTGTCTTTAGTTTAGATTGATCTATGTTTGTAATTTCAAAATTCGTTATTTAATTAAAATTTAAATTGTTGTTTATTGTAATTGTGTTATTAATAAATAAGATTGTGATTTGTATTTTTTTTAATATTTTCTTCCTGAAGTTGCCAAAATCAGAAGTGGGATACGCCTCGCGTTCCATTTCGTTTTGTTCGCCTTGAATCAAGACAGTTTAAAACTTCGTAACGTATTTTTTTTTCTTTTTCTTAAGTGGGTACATTTCAACATTTAAATTAACTGTTAAGCATTTGTAACGTCCGCGTAATTAATAAGGTTCAAGTGTAAGTGTGTATTAGTG